AGGCTCGGTGGGGCCAGGGGCCTCCTCGGGTTGGTGGCTTGGGGAAGACCTATGGAGGAAAGGAGCGTCTGCTAGCCATGCAGCAGCTGCCACACCCAGGCGTCTCCTGGGAGCTTCAAACCTGCTGTAGACAGACTGGCCAATTGTGGCAACTTCCTGGCTAATAGCTGCAGCTGACTGATGACCAGACCCTGTTCTCGGGACCTTTCCCGCAGTGGCTCTCCACCCGCACCTCAGGACACGGCACCATTACCATCCATCCTGCCTTCCAGGCAAGTGAGCCCAAGCACAGAGAACCCCGGTGACTTGGCCCACATTCCAAAGGCAATGGGACTTCAGGGTTCTGGCCTTACGCCTTTACGGGGCAAAGCCGATCTCACCCACCTGATTCAGCGCCTTCTGCTCTCCTGAGACCATCAAAGCCATTGGGATCACAGGCTGTGCTCTGCCACCTCTCCTCCCTTGACTGGCCCTGGGACATCCTTTCTGGCTTCCCTGGTCACACCCTCCCAGTCTCCTTTGACCCTAAGTGTCAGTGCTCCCCTTCTACAGGGCCACCTTCTCCCGCCATGGGCAGGGATGCCACCCTTGAGCTGCTGTTACCCACTTGTTCCTGGCCCTCCTCTGGCCCTGGCCTCACACCTATGGCCTTTAGGACAGGCCCTCAGGCAGCCGGCTCTCAACATGGCCAGAAGTGACTGCCGTCCCCCAGCTATGCCCCCAGGGGAGGGCCGAGTGGCACCCAGCCGGCTCCAGAGTCCGCGCCTGTGGCTCTTGGCGTGCTCACAGATGTGAGCCCCATGTGCGGTCCACCCGGTCTCCTGACTTCAGCTCTGTCCCACTTGTGTATGTTGTGGGAATCTCCTGAGCTCTGACCTCTCTCCCGAATCTTGACCGCAAACCCTCAAATGCTCCCTCCTGGCAAATTTTACTTGAGTGCCTCCAAATAAACTTACCACTTACTCAACAAATGCTAAGCACTTCTGCGGCCCAGCCCCTGCCCGCTGCTGGACCAGGCGGCTGCAGCACAGAAGGTGCACGGTGAGGGCTGGGGCGGGGCCATCTGCCTGCTCCCGGCTGCGTGGACTTGAGCTAGGTACCCTGGCACGCGGGCTCAGTCTCTCCACTTGTCAGGCAGGCACAGGTACCCTCACTGTGCATTCTGACACACAACCAACAGACGCCCAGGCTGGCTCGGCTAGTTCTAGCTTTGCTTCCTCCTCCCTTCTCCAGCCTGGTCCTCCCGCTGAAGGGGTGGAGTATCCCAATAGGTTGTCGGAGCGCCGCCACTCCCCCTGGGGACACAGCAGGGACCTTCTATGGCACCAGGCTTCTTTTTTTCTACACCTCTAGGGGTCACTTGGCACATTTCTCACAGAGTACCACCTTGGGGACTCCAAGGAAGTGGTTTGTTACAGACTTGCCACCACCCAGTAGCTATTCTGGACACTCGGGGCCCTCGGGGACACTGGCCATGGTGGCCACTCGTGATGCAGCATGGGAGATGCCCCAGTGGTGGTGCGAGGTGAGCTCGGCGGCAAGGGTGCCCCGAGGCGAGGGCGGCTGAGGTGCAGCCTGCAGTCTGCAGGGAGAAAGGCCGGGGAGGGGAGGGCCAGTCTCTGAAGGGCCTCGGAAGCGACTGAGTTCGGGCTGCAGGGTGTGGGCGGGGTGGGGGGCTTGCAGGTTTCCAGGAGTCTGGCATAACTGCTCCTGCTTTTGAGGAACGCCACTCGGTAGACGGGTCGGGGGGACAGTCTGCAGATGGGGCAGCAGGAAGTGGCCACAGACTGTCGGGTGTGTGATGATGGAGGCCTGGATCAGGGAGGTGGTGGGAGCTGAAGCATCTCTAAAATAAAGAGGACAGGACCCGGTGCCTGTCTGCGGTGGGGGCCGGGAAGGGTTAGACAGGGAGGAGCCAGTGAGGAGAGTAAAGGCACCTCGGGGTCCCTCAGGACTCAGCTTGGATATCACTTCTTCCAAGAAGCCTGTCCTGAACACTCCACCCCCACACTGCTGACAGGACCCTTGCTCAGAGCTCCCGCCGCCCTGTGGATTACGGGGCTACTCCAGTGCACACACCTGCCTCCTTGCCCAGACTCTGGGCTTCATGGATCTGCCCTGCCCTCTGCTGCTTGCGGCCCCCTTGGCCCTCCTGCTCCTCAGCACGGGGCAGGTGGCATCATGAGCTGTGAGGGCTAAGCCAGTGAAGTCACCCCTTTTCTAGTGGCCCCCCGCACACAAGCAGGACAACTGCCCAGAGGCTCGGGGGCTCCACAGTCCCTACGCCCCACCAAGCACGGCCGGCCGGGCCTGACTTCAGGGCTCAGCAGGGCCTCACTGTCCCTCCAGTGGTCGCCCTGTGGTGCAGAACCTCATCAGCTGCACCCCGGCCCTGCAGCCCTGTCTCCAGAGTGGAGCGAAGGACACCAGGACAGCAGCAGGCCTGTACCTCATGCCTTCCAGGTCCGGGGCTGCCAAGTGGAGTCCTGCTGTGGGTGTCGCGACCTGCAGGTGGACAACCTCTTCGCCTCTGGAGCTGCGGGTGGAAGGAGAGACCCTGAGTCACTGAGGAGCAAAGTCTGGGGGCTGCAACTGAGCTTGGGCTGCTGACCTGCAGGACCCGGGGAAGGGCAGTCTCCCAGCCCCAAGCGAAGCATAGAGAGGGGCCCTCCGGCCCTGATGCCCTGTCTGTAGCTCCACTGAGACAGTGCTTGTCGCCTGCAGGGGCGAGCCCAGCCTGCGCCCCACTGGAGTGCCCCACTGGAGCGCCCCACTGGAGCGCCCCACTGGAGCGCCCCACTGGAGTGCCCCACTGACTCTCCGCAAGGCTGATTGGAGTTCCGAGTCCACAGGCTGATGGGAACTGGTGGGGAGCAGGTGTTGAGGAGACTGACAGACCAACTCCGGGATTCCAGAGATGGGTGAGGGCAGATGCCCAGGTGCCCCCAGGAGCTGGAGCCTATGGAGGGCCAGCCCAGCCTTGAGGTTTTCTACAGCTAGCATGCCCAGAGCCTGGCCCACAGCTGGTGGCAGGCTGGCCCAGGCACACGTCCCTCTAAGTCTGGCCTGACACCCAGCAAGCCTGGTCAAGGTGCTGGCTGAGGCTGGAGAGAACCTACAGGCCCTGGCTTTGGAGGGTGGACCCACCTTACAGCCTCTTGCCCCTTCCCTTGGGGCCCCAGGCCTGCCCTGGTGAGCTACCGGCCCAGCACAGACCCAGCAGGGGCCTAGCAAAGGCAGAGCTGGGAAAGAGCAGCCTGGGAACCCACCACACAGTGCCGGGGGCGCAGGGCAAATCCACCTCTGAGGGCGGCCCAGAAGCTTCACAGAGGTGGATCCTGACCCAGCACAGCCAAAGGGAGAAGGGAGCAGTGGGGGAGCTGGGGGAGCCTGGGATGCCGAGAGCAGATCTGCTATGGCAGGAAACAGCTCAGGGGCTTGAAGAAGGGCTGGGGTCATCATCATACTGGCACTCAGGAGCCTCAGGACAAGGAGGGACTGGGGAAGATGGTCAGGGCAAAAGCGGGGTGAGCCTAGGTGCCCTGCCTGCTCTCAGCCAGCCTTGGGGCTGGCCTTGGCGTCTGGTTCTGACTCAGACCAGAAGCCCAGGGAGGGCTGGCTCAGTGAGCCCCTCCCCTCTGCCCTTCTACCTCTACCCTGGGAGGGGCCCGGAGCACCAGAGGTGACCAGAAGCAAATGGAAGGACAGCCAGGTTCAGGGCCCTCCCACACGGAAGCCCTCCTCCTACTGTCACTCCAGACCACAACCCCAGACAGCTCTGGTTCAGTTGGAAGTTCCCAGCTGGACTGAGAGCTGCTGGAGGCCAGGAACACTCTGGAAGGTCACACAGCCAGCATATGGCATGGTGGTTATGTTACTGGACTCCCACATGGCCAACTATGGTTAGAGTCTTGAACCTGGTGACTTTGAAGTAATATAGGGCATGTGCGTGTGTGGCCAAGATCCCAGGAGGAGAATGGAGAAGGGATTGCAGCATGGCCATCTCCCCTGGGGGATGACTTCTCATTTTATCTCTCACTCTCTCTGTCTCTCTGTCCCCTCCAGTGAACTAATGTGCCCTAAGGCAAAAAAAAAAAAAAAAAAAAAAAAAAAAAAAAAAAAAAAA